TTTCATCAATTCATATGATTTACATAAATTCCGTTTTTGTCTTTTTTTCATATAAATCAGAACAAATCTTTGCTCATTGAAAAAGCTAACCGGTACTATTGCCATAAGTGTGGGCTTTAGCGCCCAGCAGTCTCCATATGTACCTGGTTTAATTTTAGCGCCGCGATCTTGAAGTGTAGATGGACTCGAATAACCGATACGACAACCTCGAATCTAAATACGTGTTGCAAGCAGATCTATCAATTTTTGCAAAAAAATCTTAAATTATATCAAAAATAATAATCGAAATTGATCATTATTCAATTTCTTATGAATGTCATTTTAATGATATCTTATGATAAAAACAAAATTTGAGTAGTAGTAGTAACAGTAAGAGTATTAACCAGACATGTCAATTCCGCTGTCACCTCCAAAATATGTGCCAGCGGAAGATATCCTATGTATGTGTCGGTGTCGCGGATGATACTTATGCCAGCTCCCAGCCCAGCTACCGATGATACCATGTTATAATGCGTGATGATGACTCCCTTAGCAGTTCCAGTACTACCACTGGTATACATTATCATGGCTGTATCGTCTCTCTTAGCTGGTGAAACCTCTGCAACAGTCAATTAGACGGATCTAAAGCCAAAGGATCACTTCATCAGACTAATATTAGCGCAGCCAAAGCTATCATTTGGCCACGAATAATGAAGTAACAACCTGGAGCTTTGTTTTCATATGTTTTCAATTCATCCAATGAAACAACATTTTCGAATTGTTCCTTGATGATATCCATGTTGCTAATTTTCTTCACAGGTTGCAAGGGGCGGAAATACACTAACCAACGCAACTTTGGTATTTTCTTTCTTACTCTTGAAATTTTTGTCAACAATTCAGCAGATGTCACCAGTAGTGTGGCCTCCGTTTCATTCATTGCTTGAATTATTGCCTTGAAAAACGCAAAAATAAAAAAAGAGTGAATTAGGACGAAATTTTGAAAATATATGCTGAATCTAAACAAATTCATCATCAATAGATTTGATATGAAATAAATTAAACATATTAGAAGGTAATAATACCTTCTCTCCTAGTGTTGCATAAACTGTAGCAACTGGTACGTTAATGCGGAAAAGTGATAATACAGTAATAAGCCAATCAGCTCGAGTTTCCGCAAAAATAACCGCCTGAAAAAAAATATTTGCAAAATATAAAAACGTAAAATCTCAAATTCCTTTTAAAATATGCGAAACACTCACCCGGCAATCATTCCGCACAATATTTTTTAGACCTGAAGCAATCCGACCAATTTTGTCATGGATTTCGGTATAACTTTCCCATTTATATTTACCCATTACCCACTGAAATTCATTACTTGAATAAGAAATAAATCACTGCATAAGTGAAAACATTTGGAAGAGAATGCTGTTGTATCCCACATGGTAAACAATCAAAGACAATCGTTTTTGCACTTCAGCGAAATCAAACAGTTAAACTTTAGCCAAATTTTACATTTAAACCTTTTCAAATACACGTCCATCAGGTTGCTCTTCTTCGTGTACTTCCAACAATTCGCGAGTACCCAAGGCTGCTTTGTCACCATATAATTTCGCTGCATGCGTAAACAATTTATCAACCGTATCTTTTCCCGGAAAATCCTCTCTTACAGGACCGTCTACATTGCACCATGGACTACCTGCATTCTTCATTGGTCTTGCCTGAGTTTATAAAATTAAATGAAATTAAACTGCAAATCACTGCCATCTAATTACAATCAGTTCCGTAATACTGTCGCATCTCTGTGATGGCAAATTAGTTGATTTCGCTGCTTGAAGGTTTAAATCTAAAGTAACAAAATTGATTCCTCAATATTCCTGCAGAAAGGACCATCGAAGACACAATAATCACTGATCTGATAACATATAAATAAAACGGAAAGTGCGATGAATCATTCTGCAAAATGGACACTTAGAAATGATAAACCGGAAATCAAACCTTAATCCGTTCACTTCGCTCTAACCTGGCAATAGGTGGACTGAACAACTCATACAATACATTGCTTAGACAGTCATACACGTAAAGCCATATACGAAGCATGTGAATAATGAGACGAATCCACAATGGCAGTGATTCCTTCAAAGTTGCCAGAAATGATAACTGATCCTTTCATCCTGAAACTTATCACTAATTTAAGCCTACCTGCGAGCGACCGCTGTTTAAAGTGAACATATCAGCCAATGAACTGTGTGCGTAGCTGTGTGAATGATATCTCTTATCACTGCACCAGTCACATCGATTACGAATTACCCTTTCTCTTTTATCATGTCGAACTCATTATATTCTAACAGAAATATTTCTCTATTAGAGACCATATCGAGAACAAAATCTTGCAAAGTTTTCGGTTTGTTAATTCCATAACTTACTCTAAATGATATAAAAATAATCGACAAATAAAGCTTTTTATTTGTCGATTAGTAAAGATGGGATTTATTGCAGTCTATGCAAATTTCAGAATAATGAAGAGTTAAATAAAATTTGTTATATAAAAATATTTGAGTGTTTTGCAAGCGAATAGTTCTTTGTGTGCCGCAATTTGTGAGTGGTTGTGCAAGTGATTTCAGGTTGTCTTGTCTCTCTATTAAAGACAATTACAGTTCACTGATATCAGACAATATAAAGGTTCTATACACTTTGATTTTAATATAATTAGTTAATTAAGCTAAGAATTTTAGCTTTTTAATTAGTTCTTTACCTTCCTGCCTTCTTTACATCCTAAACAAAATTTTTCATCGGCAAGAAACATCACATAAATGCAGATTCATGGAAGGATGTAATCAGTTCATCCAGTGGATAATAGAAATGGAAAGTAAACATAAGTTTAGTATTGGAGACTGATCGATGGTCATCGGTCATCCCATGATTTAAAGTGAAGCCATTAACAAATAGATTTTCTGTTGAAATCTCACAAATCAATATTTCAGAATGCGGCACTACATAATTTGCATTCGCCTTCTATTTATAATGGTTACGTTGATAAGATCCGTCTTCTTATCACAACCATCTATTCTAGAACTCGATAAGGTGATAGCAGATATTGAGAGCACAAAACAGAAAAACAACGAAGTGTGCGACGAAACCGATAAAATTGCAAATTGGTTTGTGACAAGATTGTTAGCCAATCAAAGATGATAAACAGATTTGCAATTTAATCAGAAAATGATTACATTGCATTCTGCTACTTTCACCCAATTCAAATTATCTTCAACCACTCTTAGATTCCAGAATTTCTAATAGTCCAAGAATGTGTCGACTTCAGCTTGGCCTAGTGCTAATTGCAAAACCTGCCAAGTGCCAAGTCAAATCCAACTTTCTTCTCAAATTGCAGGAACATATACTGCAGTGGTCCTATACTCACCGCAATGAATTTGCATCAGGTGGAAATGGATTCAAAAACATTCGTTGACAGACCGTTGAAAGCCGATCCCGGTAGAAACAAAGTTTCAGATTTTCAAGAATTTATTTGGTATTTTAAATCAGAAAAAAAAAGTGAATGCCTTGTAAGATACGGCAAAAATGTATTCATCAGATCTTCGTAACAAGTGGTGTCACTTCCATATTTTTGCCGGAGGTGGCGACTCTACGTTTAAATGATGATTATGCACTTCACGGGTTTCAGACGTGGTTTTACAAGAATTTAAAAAAGAATTCGGAAAGACAAAGATAGCAAATATTAGTGTGCAGAAGCTTATAAATTTTCGAAATCGCTTTTTTGGTGAGCCAGGCACGGAATTGAAGGGTTGCGTTATTCCGGAATGGAAGGAATTACCACCGAAAATTGCTAGGATAAAGGATGAAAACCTGAAACGTTTTGCACTATTTTTGAATCAAAGATGGAAAGATCTATGCAGACAAGTAAGAAACGAAACATTATTTGTCCTTCAAGGAACTAATTATTTGGGGTCAAACTTATTTGGGACCAAAGGTGAAAGATCAATTTATATATTTCAAGATGACTAGAATCGAGAATCCTAAACAGAATTCCCTGATCGAAGTACCCCATCCATTCATTGTCCCAGGTGGTCGATTCAGGGAATTTTATTATTGGGACGCATATTGGATTGTGAAAGGTTTAATTGCAAGTGACCTACTCGTAATGGTCAGGAATATGCTGAAGAACTTCATCCATTGTGTCAAAAAATGAGTTTTTGTTGCTTCGAATTAACAAATTAATAATGACCTATGTTTCATCATTAATATTTATTTCATAGGCGAAACCTCACCAAATACAAATCTAATTATTAATAATAATAGCAATTCTGACAACAACAGCAACTATAATAATAATAATAATTTCTGATCTAAAATAGACATCAAAAAAACAGGATTGTCAACATATAAAAAGTAGCTTAGATCAGAAACAAACTGTGGTAGATCTTTTACCGAATAAAAAAAAAAAACAATGGTTTAATGTGATCATTGTGTGTGACCAACCAGAGAAAATTTCTCGGAAATTATTTCGTACAGCAGACTGAAGTAATTTGTGGTAGAGTGTAGCATTTATTGGAGAAGGAATCATAATTCTCACTGTTTTCTACGATTGTTGTTCCTTGAGACTTTTCTTTTCCTATCAACCGGAATAGCTTACTGAATATCAGTCCTGGCATAGCTTCAGAACTGCTAATCTAATCAAATTATTGTGCATTTTCAGAATAGTCTTTCCTTTTAGGTTTGGATTTGTACCGAACGGTGGACGTATCTATTATTTGAGACGTTCACAACCACCATTTCTCACCCCAATGATGTACGAATATTACGAAGCCACGGGAGATATTGAATTCATAAAGGAAAATTTCAATCACCTTGTAAAAGAATATGAATTTTGGGTTCAAAACAGGTAAATATGATCAGTGGATGAATGTACTCAAGATTTATTAATAAGTAAAATAACTTCTCAGAGATTTTTAAACCAAACTTTTCTCTCAATTCTCATGGGAACGATCAACTGGTGTGCTGATAATGCAACTTACATAGATCTATGATCTCTGATGCAGTGCCAATATGTCGTTTTCGAATGTCAATTGATTCTGAAAAGTTGAGCGATAGAAGTATAAAAAATAAATGGAAAATGTAAGGTCAGGTCAATATCAGTGATGGATGAGAAGGGATATAAACACAAAATATATCAGTATCGTACTATTTCAAATGTACCTCGTCCGGAATCATTCCGAGCTGATATTCAAGCTGCAGTAGAAGTTGGGAAAAACGACAGGCAGAAATTCTTTCAGGTATTAATATTCATATAATAAAATAGAATAAAGGAATATCCTGAAAACACTGTAAGTCGATCGCTGTAAGTCGAAGCACTGTAAGTCGATCGCTTGCAGAGTGTTATGAAACTATTTTTGTTATTTTCAGGTGAAATTCTCATTGAACGCTAACAGAGACGAAATAGTGTTGTAAATTGTGTGTGAGTGAGTAGTGGCGACAATTGATAGCAGAGCTATTTTGCAGGATATTGCATCAGCGGCGGAATCCGGTTGGGACTTTTCGTCTCGATGGTTCAGAGATAGAAATACAATGAAAACCATTGAAACAACTAATATTTTACCGGTCGATCTGAATTCACTGCTCTGTTGGAATGTCAATATTCTCAAATACTTTGCTAATATCATCGGTATATTTCCCATTGCTTCCTTGCACTTGCAGCAGTGCAAGTAATAATATCAATTACAACAGGTAATACACAGAAGGCAGAGGAATTTGAGAAGAAAGGACAAGAAGCTCGGAAAGCCTTAAATGCCATATTTTACAATAAATTGAAAAAGGCTTGGTTCGACTACAATTTCCGCATCAAATCACATAATACCTTGTTCTACCCAACCGTTGCAATGCCTCTATTCACGGGCTGTTATACAATGTTGGATTACGGTAAATCGATAAAAGTTATTGACTTTATGAATGTGAGTTTCATAGAATTGTCAAATATACATTGTAAGACAATTGCGCCAACAAAACTGGTGTGGAATTTGATGAATGATCAATGAAGTGCTACATCAATCGAAATAACAGAAATTTTGTTTTGAATTCGAACTTTTCCTGCTATTATCTCTGACACTTTGCATTCATTAGCAGCTTATTGTAGGAATCAAATGTTTTCAATTATCCAAGTGGTATACCGGCAAGCCTAAAGAATACCGGACAGCAATGGGATTTGCCGAACGGTTGGCCTCCCTTGCAACACATAATCATTGAAGGGATGCGGAAATCCGACAATCCCGAAGCTCAGGAAATGGTAAATTAAATAATCATTTGTGTAACAATCCAAAATCGCCGATATATTCTTTTCAAATTTTGTTGAGCATTTTAAAAGCTCTGAAATCAATAATGGTTCATTACAAGACTCTTACAGGCATTCAAATTGGCACGAAAATGGATATTAGCCAATTACAAGATATATAATACAACCAAAAAAATGTGGGAAAAAGTTTGTCTTGGCATTTCGAGTCATAATTACGCATAAATAAAGTTAATAGGCCTAATTCTTAGCTTAGACTCAACTACTGATCTTTTCGTTTTACTCTCAGAAGTTCATTTTATAACAACTTTTGCGTACTACTAACCTCTCCATTCATTTTTCATCAGTGCCAGTAACAATTATTGATATCAGTAGAGACTGGATATCTTATCCACAAGTGAAACTTGACAATTAGTTCATCTTAACACTCATTCCTGTTTGTTTAGATTGATGTTACTGGGACAATTCCCAAGCCAGGAGCTGGTGGCGAGTATGACGTACAGGTATTCCACTTATGAAATTCATTTTATTTCGATGAAATATTTATGCACTTATTTCGATCAGTTTATCACTTCATCACAATCAGTTTTATTCTTTTTTCTAGGATGGTTTTGGATGGACAAATGGTGTTGTCCTAGACCTTTTGACTACTTATTATGATCGAATGACTATTGGAGACATTGGACAAAATGTCACGCATGGGCCATCCGTTAGACCCTGTCGTAGTAAAACGTATCGCATCCGTTACAGACTAGTTCCATTGCTTTGCACCACCGTTTTTTATTTCCTCAGACCTTAGCTGTTATGCACAGAAAATGTATTTAATTTTTCTAAATTGGTTTCATCATGGCATTTGCCAATCGATCGATATGCATTAATAAAGTATTTTTGTGGATTTGAGAGATTGTCATCCGTGCAACAAACATTTCCTCTAGAGTTGGTCTCCGTATTCCCTTCTAAAACATTGTGGAAAAAGGGAAAGAGGGAAAATTTTTGATGCGGAAGGACATACAATTCACCTCCATTCTTAACTTCTTCTACTGTTTGCTTCTTTCATCTATTGATTTAACTAAGATCAAAAGAGTTATTTACTGGGAAAAATGATTCTGTTTCTTTTCGATACTATTGAGTTAATTCAAATTTTAATATGAATTAAACTAACATCCATCAGAGCTGTTCTAATGCAATAATCAAACCCATTAATACTTCTCTTTCAAAGAGAACATTTTGCAATTCTCTTAAAGATGAACTACAACAACAAGGATCTTTCTTAGTTGTCGAAATATGATTACTTCTGCGTGATAATTTGCAATTGAATCAGGAGAGATCTGTTAGATTTGAGGTAACAAACATTTCTAATAAGTATTAGATATCATCAGTGACTGTATCGTAGTGAACATGATGTTTGAATAATGAAAAAACAAATTGCAATTTGTAAAATATTACAAAATAATAAGTGGTATGATGCTCTGAAAGGTTTCCTATAAATAGTATTTCTATAGATATCTAAATCTTTTATAAAGTCTAAATCTTTTATAGATTCCGTTGCATACTGGACGTAGTTTCAGTATGAGGTGGTATGGAACAAGAGGATTATATGACAATTCCAATCCCGATCTTTTGATCCCCAAAAATTCAAAGGATGGAGAGAATGAAAGTTCCCCTGCACCACCTCCAACATTCGCTATTTTTTTTATTCCGATATACCGAATATATGTATTGCAAACGAGTGATTAAGTGGCAGCAACTTCATTTGTAAAAAGATCAATGTAATACAATCAATAAATACAAGTATAAGGTAATAAAGTAGTGAAAAACAATTATATTTTCTTTCGAGATCCTTTATCGACATGTCGAATATGTATTGCAAATGATGAGTTATTAAGCGGCAGTAAATATAAGTATAAATAAAGTCAATAAATACAAGTATAAATAAAGTAGTGCAACAGTGGAAAAATATAGTACAGTTCCCGATTGTACACGTGAAAAAAAAAATAAACAACAAACAATAAATGGTAGTGAATTATGTGCAAATTTTGCGCACATATCTAGAAACAATAAAAAATACAATCAAGATCATATATAAACATCGATAAATTCAAGTAATGCTGCCACTTTTATAGATGAAAAAACAAAAAAAAGAAACAAAGAAAGAAAGAAAGGAATTGAGAGATTATTGAAAAAATTTGTTTGATAAGTCGAATATTCATCCCTACTGCATAAAATTTGATTTGTTGACTGACTGTAGCATTAAAAATTAAGGTTCAATAGAAAAAAGTTAATCACAAATATCAGCGACTTATGTTTGATGAGGCGGATATTCATCATTGTTGTGTAAAACATAACTTCTTGACTGATTGTACCATTCATTCCAAACAGACCAGATTGACATCTAAGAACAACAATGTTCAAAGGAAAGAACAAAGTTCATAGAAAACGGAAGTGAAGTTTACGTAAGGTCATCATAACGAACAAGAGAAAATCCTCACCTGTTCATGAGTTCGTAGGAATGAAGAATATGCAGTTGCTTGTGTAACAGATGGATAAACAACTGGTTATTGACCATAAAACATACCAGAGCCATATTGTCTATTTACAGTGGACGGATTCTGCTACAATATATATACATATTTAAAGTATAAATTTCTTTCGTTTGAAAAAAAATAAATGAAATTAATTGTTTCTGTAATGTCACATTCATTTCAAAGATTAAATTGCTAAATATATGAATTAAATTGCTAAATATATGAAATAAAAATGATAAAATATATGAAAAAATTAAAGTATGACGAAGTAATAGTTGAGAATTGAAATTTCAGACAATATAAGCTTATTTATTTACAGTAGATGAAAAACATACCGGCATTTGATAATAACCAGACATCGGAATACCGTATCCACTTGGTTGTCCAATGCTTCCACTTGCACCATATATCGTTCCTGCCTGATTATATAGCGTCGTCTGGAAAATGGAAATGAATGGAAAATATTATAATACAAATATAATATGTTGCAATTTTTCAATACTACTACACGTAATGTAGACTTAGCAATAAAAATATGGCATGGCGAGAACTCTAGTAATACACAAAATAACAATAACTACCAAAAAAGAAAAAATTACAATAGCTTACAATAGTTACCTGTGCAACTGATGCTACACAATAAACTGGCATCGAATAATAATTATATCCACTCATCGCCGCATTTCCTCCAATTGAACCACTCGTTGTTGCTGCTGGCGTAGTCTAAAATATTTCACGTAAGAGATCCATCAGGTAAGAGGTAAAGCAAAATGTAAGGTGACTTTTCCACAACCTTAGTAATGCATGAAATAATAATAGCTAGCAAGACTTACCTGTGTTGTATAATAAGCTGGCATCGAATAATAATTATATCCACTCATCGCCACATTTCCTCCAATTGAACCACTCGTTGTTGCTGCTGCTGCTACTGCCATTGGCGTAGTCTAAATTTCACGTACGAGACCTATCAGGTAAGAGGTAAAACAGAATGTAAGGTGACTTTTCCACAACCTTAGTAATGCATGAAATAATAATAGCTAGCAAGACTTACCTGTGTAACTGATGTTGTATAATAAGCTGGCATCGAATAATAATTATATCCACTCATCGCCGCATTTCCTCCAATTGAACCACTCGTTGTTGTTGCTGCTGCTACTGCCATTGGCGTAGTCTAAAATATTTCACGTACGAGATCCATCTGTGTTTTAGGTAAGAAATGATATAACAAAATTTATCGTTGATTTTTTCATTACTAGATAAAGAAGCTTTACTAGATAAAATCTTAATAATGCATTGATTACATAAAAGAACCAACTTGTTGAAATTGTCCACTATAACAATACCATCTCCACTTCTTTGCACAAATGGGAAATTTCGTGATTGTGATGGCTTAGCATGCACAATTGACGGTCTACTCTAAAATTGATAATGTTCATCAATTTTTCATCGTGAAATTTTACTGTTCACATTAAACCGTTTAATACTCGCAGAAATTGGCAGAAATTTAAAGTGTTCAATTAATGAAGTATGAGTAACTAATTATTTAGCTTAAAACAATATAAAATGTTTACCTGAATAGCTAAGGTAATTTGATCGATTGAAGTGAAATTTTGACGATGCGATGAATTTACGATAGGTGCGGATAAAAAAAACTCTATGATCTCTACTGCTCTATGACCTCTTAGGGAGGTCAAATGAAGAATTAAGAATTGAACCGACTACAAATCTTTCAGAAGTGAAAACTGATAAGTTAATTAAAATTGATATGTAATAAAAAACTGAATAAGTACTTACATTTGAACATAATGTTCCATTCACTTTGTCGAAGTTTTATTATGGCGGAAGTGAATATTTGGTGATTAAATTAATTTCATTTTGCAAATCAGCATAATATTTTTATTTGCTCATTACATATATTTTATCTACACTTTTGTAACACCGATCTTATTAAAATCGCACTACAATTCACTTTGAACTCATAAAAATTTAAAAAGCTTTTTACATTTCTTGGGGTTAAAGGTCTCAAAGCAAAATATCAGTAGGAATGAAAAGGACAAATTGTATTTCTTTTACATTCTCCTGAAATTCAATAAAAATCCATAATGTTTTCTAATGCAAAATTGACAGTAAGATTATTTTATTTTCCTTTTTTTAATTTTAACTTTATTTTCAAAATTTAGATTTCAGATTCAAAATTATTTTGATTATTTTAATTTTATTTTTAGTTTTTAGACTGAATTTGAATTCATACAGCATTTCCATGTTCATTTTTAACTCAACAATATATTTGTTTTATGAAATAATTTAAAAATGGGATTTATATTGCACATCTCATTTGAAAATTGTTTGCGGTTAAGGTTTTTTTTCTCTCACGACTATCTCAAGTGGGCGGGATCTCGTGTTCAAAATACCTATCGTTTCGATTTTTGTTCTCTTATTTATAGGTATGGTCGCATTCTACAATTTTCGTTTAAAGGTTGAAGTAAAACTGCTGTGTAAGGATGATGAGGTTTTGCCGGATGAAAATTAAAATTTCTATTTCTAACTTCCTTCAGCCAATCAAATCTGCCCTATGAATAGGCATAGCATACGGTAGGGAAATGAAACTGAAAGAAATTTCCAGAAATTTACTATATTTCATTTTCTAGTCAATTTTAATTGTCAATTAACAATTTTGAATGAGAAAATTCTTTCTCAAAAGCTACGATTAATATTTGGATTATTGTTTGTAAAGTATATCTTTTATAGAAGCATAATTAGATGTCTCGGATTATCTTCCTTCCTGCAAATGTGAGAATGATGTAGGAATTTTCATTTTCACATATTTCTCATTACAATGCTTCAAAAAGGATCATACCTATTCTATTATTTGCACACTTTTCCTTTCAATAAATAATTTCTTATCATCAGTAAGTATTAGGATAGATTCTTTTAATGACAATTGTGACAATTGTGTACAATTCTATTAATTCTATTCACACTTCCGTTTATTTCAATTAACTCATCGAATTGCTTTTTTGGTTCATTTTCTTGCACCCTGGTGAATTTATATAGTGTAGATAAGAACTAAATCTATCACTTTCTTTCGTATATTTTCCATTGTCAAATTAAATTTTTCATCTGCATATTCACAATTAGTAATTTCTCAACGACCATCACATATACTCCTCCATCACTGTAAAGGTCAAACAGGGATAATGCTTAATTAACGGTTAGATGACTAAAGTATCCTTTGCAATGTTCGACAATACGTCATATCATTTCATACTTAATGCATTCATTCCATCCTTATTTCGAAGCAAATATTTCAACTACGCATTTTTGTATTTTCACTCTTTTGTCTTGCATATATTTCATATGAAGCAGTAAAAAACTGAATTCTTCAAAATTAAATATTAGTTATTTTTTCTTGACCTTTAATTAGTATAGTAATTTAAATAATTAGTTCACCCTTAACCCCATTGCCAACATTTTGAAATCTCTATTTGCAAGACTATATGTTGTAATTTCTTCGGGAAATGAAAGTGCTGTTTTATATTTAAATAAAAACAATAAAAACTGTAAATATATTATTTAGATAGATAAGCCATGGAAGAAATAGGAAATTTCAAAGTGGTTGAAATGCAAGAAACGGAAATATCATCTAAACTTAAAAAGTTACCTAAACCAATTGGTTATGAACGTGGGCTTTTATTGGCTCAAAGGAATCACAAGGACTCTCCAGGTTTGTTTGTTGTAAAGTTTTTATTCATAACTTTTTCCTGACATGAAAGATTGTTTATGATTAAATAATAAATTTTCAGGGTTTTCTAAGGAAGACACTGAGCAAAACGCAGACGTACCACTAGCTGATTCAGAATCCTGGATACCATGGTTGGATGATCGATTAGAAAGAGCGGTTGCCGAAGTATTTAATTTTAAACCATTAGGTATTTTTTATTTATAATAGTAATGAATGATTTTTTTGCAATTTACAATTTTATTTTCTCTTGCTTTTGATTAAATAAATTTATAACGAATCGTTTGACAGTCATCTGAAATAGCAATAAAAACACCGTTAACTTAATTAGAAGACTTTTGGATGTCGCTGAGGAATATTCACGTGGAAAATGAAATGACTATAATATTAAGCAATACACAAACTGCTGAGGAAGTGAGTCGCGAATCAGCAGGTATCAATAGTTAGTAAATCAATTATTAACGGTTGTGTTCCAGTGAAAATCATATTGAAACGTAATATTCATTTCTTTAGATTCAACGTCTCCGGATAGATCAGAGAATGATAATGATGATGATACGTTGACAACATCCACTCCTGCTGAATCGAACACGATATTATCCGAAACAGAAGCAGCAACAGCTGTAGTTTTATCACAATCAGGAATTACACAAACTACAACTACCGCTTCCGTGGTATTTGAAAGTGAACAAACGGAGCAATCATCTGCGCCGGATCAGATAGTAGCAAGTGTAGCAGCAAATAATGCATTAATCAGGCAAGAATATATTATAATTTGTTCCTTGCAAATTATTTGCTGCAAATGAAGGATGATCAATTTAACATTTACAATCAATAATTATTAACATATTAACAATAAAAGAGTTTCAGGGAAGAATTCATTTGGAATTTGGATGCACCGCCATTTGTACCACACAATTTAATTAATAATTTGTTTTGTCCAATACTGAATGGAATTCGAACTAGCGATGCACCACTACCGATTTTATCCGCACCTATCGTAAATTCATCGCATCGTCAAAGTTTCACTTCAATCGATCAAATTACCTTAGCTATTCAGGTAAACATTTTATATTGTTTTAAGCTAAATAATTAGTTACTCATACTTCATTAATTGAAAACTTAATTTCTGTCACACAGGTAAGTCTTGCTAGCTATTATTATTTCATGCATTATTAAGGTTGTGGAAAAGTCACCTTACATCCTGTTTTACCTCTTACCTGATAGGTCTCGTACGTGAAATTTAGACTACGCCAATGGCAGCAGCAGCAGCAGCAACAACGAGTGGTTCAATTGGAGGAAATGCGGCGATGAGTGGATATAATTATTATTCGATGCCAGCTTATTATACAACATCAGTTACACAGGTAAGTCTTGCTTGCTATTATTATTTCATGCATTACTAAGGTTGTGGAAAAGTCACCTTACATTCTGTTTTACCTCTTACCTGATAGGTCTCGTACGAAATATTTAGACTACGCCAATGGCAGCAGCAGCAGCAGCAACAACGAGTGGTTCAATTGGAGGAAATGCGGCGATGAGTGGATATAATTATTATTCGATGCCAGCTTATTATACAACATCAGTTGCACAGGTAAGTCTTGCTAGCTATTATTATTTCATGCATTACTAAGGTTGTGGAAAAGTCACCTTACATTCTGTTTTACCTCTTACCTGATAGGTCTCGTACGTGAAATTTAGACTACGCCAATGGCAGCAGCAGCAGCAGCAGCAACAACAACGAGTGGTTCAATTGGAGGAAATGCGGCGATGAGTGGATATAATTATTATTCGATGCCAGCTTATTATACAACATCAGTTACACAGGTAAGTCTTGCTAGCTATTATTATTTCATGCATTACTAAGGTTGTGGAAAAGTCACCTTACATTCTGTTTTACCTCTTACCTGATGGATCTCGTACGTGAAATATTTTAGACTACGCCAGCAGCAACAACGAGTGGTTCAATTGGAGGAAATGCGACGATGAGTGGATATAATTATTATTCGATGCCAGTTTATTATACAACATCAGTTACACAGGTAAGTCTTGCTTGCTATTATTATTTCATGCATTACTAAGGTTGTGGAAAAGTTAACCCCATTGCCAACATTTTGAAATCTCTATTTGCAAGACTATATGTTGTAATTTCTTCGGGAAATGAAAGTGCTGTTTTATATTTAAATAAAAACAATAAAAACTGTAAATATATTATTTAGATAGATAAGCCATGGAAGAAATAGGAAATTTCAAAGTGGTTGAAATGCAAGAAACGGAAATATCATCTAAACTTAAAAAGTTACCTAAACCAATTGGTTATGAACGTGGGCTTTTATTGGCTCAAAGGAATCACAAGGACTCTCCAGGTTTGTTTGTTGTAAAGTTTTTATTCATAACTTTTTCCTGACATGAAAGATTGTTTATGATTAAATAATAAATTTTCAGGGTTTTCTAAGGAAGACACTGAGCAAAACGCAGACGTACCACTAGCTGATTCAGAATCCTGGATACCATGGTTGGATGATCGATTAGAAAGAGCGGTTGCCGAAGTATTTAATTTTAAACCATTAGGTATTTTTTATTTATAATAGTAATGAATGATTTTTTTGCAATTTACAATTTTATTTTCTCTTGCTTTTGATTAAATAAATTTATAACGAATCGTTTGACAGTCATCTGAAATAGCAATAAAAACACCGTTAACTTAATTAGAAGACTTTTGGATGTCGCTGAGGAATATTCACGTGGAAAATGAAATGACTATAATATTAAGCAATACACAAACTGCTGAGGAAGTGAGTCGCGAATCAGCAGGTATCAATAGTTAGTAAATCAATTATTAACGGTTGTGTTCCAGTGAAAATCATATTGAAACGTAATATTCATTTCTTTAGATTCAACGTCTCCGGATAGATCAGAGAATGATAATGATGATGATACGTTGACAACATCCACTCCTGCTGAATCGAACACGATATTATCCGAAACAGAAGCAGCAACAGCTGTAGTTTTATCACAATCAGGAATTACACAAACTACAACTACCGCTTCCGTGGTATTTGAAAGTGAACAAACGGAGCAATCATCTGCGCCGGATCAGATAGTAGCAAGTGTAGCAGCAAATAATGCATTAATCAGGCAAGAATATATTATAATTTGTTCCTTGCAAATTATTTGCTGCAAATGAAGGATGATCAATTTAACATTTACAATCAATAATTATTAACATATTAACAATAAAAGAGTTTCAGGGAAGAATTCATTTGGAATTTGGATGCACCGCCATTTGTACCACACAATTTAATTAATAATTTGTTTTGTCCAATACTGAATGGAATTCGAACTAGCGATGCACCACTACCGATTTTATCCGCACCTATCGTAAATTCATCGCATCGTCAAAGTTTCACTTCAATCGATCAAATTACCTTAGCTATTCAGGTAAACATTTTATATTGTTTTAAGCTAAATAATTAGTTACTCATACTTCATTAATTGAAAACTTAATTTCTGTCACACAGGTAAGTCTTGCTAGCTATTATTATTTCATGCATTATTAAGGTTGTGGAAAAGTCACCTTACATCCTGTTTTACCTCTTACCTGATAGGTCTCGTACGTGAAATTTAGACTACGCCAATGGCAGCAGCAGCAGCAGCAACAACGAGTGGTTCAATTGGAGGAAATGCGGCGATGAGTGGATATAATTATTATTCGATGCCAGCTTATTATACAACATCAGTTACACAGGTAAGTCTTGCTTGCTATTATTATTTCATGCATTAAAGTTGTGGAAAAGTCACCTTACATTCTGTTTTACCTCTTACCTGATGGATCTCGTACGTGAAATTTTTTAGACTATGCCAGCAGCAACAACGAGTGATTCAATTGGAGGAAATGCGGTGATGAGTGGATATAATTATTATTCGATGCCAGCTTATTATACAACATCAGTTACACAGGTAAGTCTTGCTAGCTATTATTATTTCATGCATTACTAAGGTTGTGGAAAAGTCACCTTACATTTTGTTTTACCTCTTACCTGATGGATCTCGTACGTGAAATATTTTAGACTACGCCAGCAGCAACAACGAGTGGTTCAATTGGAGGAAATGCGGTGATGAGTGGATATAATTATTATTCGATGCCAGCTTATTATACAACATCAGTTACACAGGTAAGTCTTGCTAGCTATTATTATTTCATGCATTACTAAGGTTGTGGAAAAGTCACCTTACATTTTGTTTTACCTCTTACCTGATGGATCTCGTACGTGAAATATTTTAGACTACGCCAGCAGCAACAACGAGTGGTTCAATTGGAGGAAATGCGGCGATGAGTGGATATAATTATTATTCGATGCCAGCTTATTATACAACATCAGTTACACAGGTAAGTCTTGCTAGCTATTATTATTTCATGCATTACTAAGGTTGTGGAAAAGTCACCTTACATTTTGTTTTACCTCTTACCTGATGGATCTCGTACGTGAAATATTTTAGACTACGCCAGCAGCAACAACGAGTGGTTCAATTGGAGGAAATGCGGCGATGATTGGATATAATTATTATTCGATGTCAGCTTATTATACAACATCAGTTACACAGGTAACTATTGTAAGCTGTTGTAATTTTTTCTTTTTTGGTAGTTATTGTTATTTTGTGCATTACTAGAGTTCTCGCCATGCCATATTTTTATTGCTAAGTCTATATTACGTGTAGTAGTGTTGAAAAATTACAACATATTATATTTGTATTATAATATTTTCCATTCATTTCCATTTTCCAGACGACGCTATATAATCAAGCAGGAACGATATACGGTGCAAGTGGAAACATTGGACAACCAAGTGGATACGGTATTCCGATGTCTGGTTATTATCAAATGCCGGTATGTTTTTCATCTACTGTAAATAAATATGCTTATATTGTCTGAAATTTCAATTCTCAACTATTACTTCGTCATACTTTAATTTTTTCATATATTTTATCATTTTTATTTCATATATTTAGCAATTTAATTCATATATTTAGCAATTTAATCTTTGAAATGAATGTGACATTACAGAAACAATTAATTTCATTTATTTTTTTCAAACGAAAGAAATTTATACTTTAAATATGTATATATATTGTAGCAGAATCCGTCCACTGTAAATAGACAATATGGCTCTGGTATGTTTTATGGTCAATAACCAGTTGTTTATCCATCTGTTACACAAGCAACTGCATATTCTTCATTCCTACGAACTCATGAACAGGTGAGGATTTTCTCTTGTTCGTTATGATGACCTTACGTAAACTTCACTTCCGTTTTCTATGAACTTTGTTCTTTCCTTTGAACATTGTTGTTCTTAGATGTCAATCTGGTCTGTTTGGAATGAATGGTACAATCAGTCAAGAAGTTATGTTTTACACAACAATGATGAATATCCGCCTCATCAAACATAAGTCGCTGATATTTGTGATTAACTTTTTTCTATTGAATCTTAATTTTTAATGCTACAGTCAGTCAACAAATCAAATTTTATGCAGTAGGGATGAATATTCGACTTATCAAACAAATTTTTTCAATAATCTCTCAATTCCTTTCTTTCTTTCTTTGTTTCTTTTTTTTGTTTTTTCATCTATAAAAGTGGCAGCATTACTTGAATTTATCGATGTTTATATATGATCTTGATTGTATTTTTTATTGTTTCTAGATATGTGCGCAAAATTTGCACATAATTCACTACCATTTATTGTTTGTTGTTTATTTTTTTTTTCACGTGTACAATCGGGAACTGTACTATATTTTTCCACTGTTGCACTACTTTATTTATACTTGTATTTATTGACTTTATTTATACTTATATTTACTGCCGCTTAATAACTCATCATTTGCAATACATATTCGACATGTCGGTAAAGGATCTCGAAAGAAAATATAATTGTTTTTCACTACTTTATTACCTTATACTTGTATTTATTGATTGTATTACATTGATCTTTTTACAAATGAAGTTGCTGCCACTTAATCACTCGTTTGCAATACATATATTCGGTATATCGGAATAAAAAATAGCGAATGTTGGAGGTGGTGCAGGGGAACTTTCATTCTCTCCATCCTTTGAATTTTGGGGATCAAAAGATCGGGATTGGAATTGTCATATAATCCTCTTGTTCCATACCACCTCATACTGAAACTACGTCCAGTATGCAACGGAATCTATAAAAGATTTAGACTTTATAAAAGATTTAGATATCTATAGAAATACTATTTATAGGAAACCTTTCAGAGCATCATACCACTTATTATTTTGTAATATTTTACAAATTGCAATTTGTTTTTTCATTATTCAAACATCATGTTCACTACGATACAGTCACTGATGATATCTAATACTTATTAGAAATGTTTGTTACCTCAAATCTAACAGATTTCTCCTGATTCAATTGCAAATTATCACGCAGAAGTAATCATATTTCGACAACTAAGAAAGATCCTTGTTGTTGTAGTTCATCTTTAAGAGAATTGCAAAATGTTCTCTTTGAAAGAGAAGTATTAATGGGTTTGATTATTGCATTAGAACAGCTCTGATGGATGTTAGTTTAATTCATATTAAAATTTGAATTAACTCAATAGTATCGAAAGGAAACAGAATCATTTTTCCCAGTAAATAACTCTTTTGATCTTAGTTAAATCAATAGATGAAAGAAGCAAACAGTAGAAGAAGTTAAGAATGGAGGTGAATTGTATGTCCTTCCGCATCAAAAATTTTCCTCTTTCCCTTTTTCCACAATGTTTTAGAAGGGAATACGGAGACCAACTCTAGAGGAAATGTTTGTTGCACGGATGACAATCTCTCAAATCCACAAAAATACTTTATTAATGCATATCGATCGATTGGCAAATGCCATGATGAAACCAATTTAGAAAAATTAAATACATTTTCTGTGCATAACAGCTAAGGTCTGAGGAAATAAAAAACGGTGGTGCAAAGCAATGGAACTAGTCTGTAACGGATGCGATACGTTTTACTACGACAGGGTCTAACGGATGGCCCATGCGTGACATTTTGTCCAATGTCTCCAATAGTCATTCGATCATAATAAGTAGTCAAAAGGTCTAGGACAACACCATTTGTCCATCCAAAACCATCCTAGAAAAAAGAATAAAACTGATTGTGATGAAGTGATAAACTGATCGAAATAAGTGCATAAATATTTCATCGAAATAAAATGAATTTCATAAGTGGAATACCTGTACGTCATACTCGCCACCAGCTCCTGGCTTGGGAATTGTTGTAGTAACATCAGTGTAAATAAAAGAACCGAACAAAAAACTCTTTACCGGACAAATCACTTTTATCAACAAATTTGCAACGATCATCTATTATCACTGATAAGAGTTTGCCTAACTAATATCAGCCAAATTACTTGTAAGTTAATGTTAATCACTATATCAATATCTAAATTAATTGCTACTTTATTTCATTAGGTTGTATTCATTTTATTCCTAAATATTTGAAATTCCAAACTGAACAAAATCAGTACGTATTGGTTTTCATGTATTTCAATCACTGAGAATTAGATTTTGATGCATGCTAGGGACAAAAATATATTAAATTAGCGCTACAATAAATTCAAAATTTGCGCTAAAATTATGCACCAACTGAAGACTTTGGTGCTATAGATATTCAAAATATATACTTAAAATATTTATTCAAAGTATCCGTACAAATAAATATAAACAAATCAAATCGTAACCAACAACAAAATAAAACAAAAAAAGAAAAGAACTTAGTAACTGTAATTATATAACTTTATCTTCCAAACCGCAACTAATCTTACATGTATTGCTGCAATGTTCCAAAAAATTCATTCTGTTTGTTCATCACTCATTTGTGAAATGTCCTGCTGCAAGCCAACGTCTGCCATATAACCTGTTACTTCGGTTCAATACTCCTCTACGACCGTTCTCGATCGAACGACAACCTGAAGCTGTCTCATATGACTCTAATTTGCGTCTTCATCGTTGAACAAATAAAACCTTCCCAACATGTCTCTTGAAAGTACTTCTGTCAAATGCTCAACCCTAAAGAATTTTGATTTCAAGGTTTCTTGGTTCAGAACATGATTATCACTCCTTGATGAAGCATTAATTCTGAGAATTTTTTGATTTGCAGATTTTTCCTTTTACGGAAAAAGAGCTATCATCACGAGTAGACCCAACCCAACTAATCCAGGTCTATACTTGAGTCCTACCATTGTTTCCATCGAGTCATTTGCAGTGTCAACATTTCACTTTCATTCCTTTACCCATCATATTTTGAGACACAGAAAATCTGAAATTACATAGAACAAACTCGATCTGGATACCTTTCCCTTACCCATCATATCTTGAGGACATATGACACTGCAATTTTGTTCTATCCGGCCAAGCACCTCTACTTGCATTGGGCATCTGCCAGAAATTAAATTCATTTGTATGATTAATCAAACAATGTGCTTGCAATTTGTTGCATAAATTAATCTGAGTTCTCATCCAAGAGGAAACAGACAGCACGAGGAAGTGTGGACGGAATATTGTCATTCGCTGTACATTAGCCATCAACAACTAAAACAAACGATATCGAATGAATGTAAAAATAATTGAGAGAGACAACGAGAGCAATTACTTCATAGAGAGAACGGAACGACGGAGAGAGAGGGAAGAAGGGGCGAAAGTGGGTGTGCCAAGAGCCAAGCTAAAAGGAGAAAGACAAAGAAATAATTGCAAGATGGAAAGGATAACAGACATATCGCTGACGGAACGTTTCCACTTCTGCTTTTAGATGATTTCACAAAATTTTAAACTCTTCTGACCTCTATGACAAATAGCTTACCTTCAAAATATACAGCATATGACATGATGTTTGATGTTTGTTGTGAGCCAAAATCTTCAGTTGACAACCTAAATTGAATTTCTCGATGTTTATATCCTTTTAAGAAAGTCATATTGATCTTTACTTGCTGACTATTCGATATAATTTGCGCGAAATTTAAACCTTTCTTAATTGGTGAACTTCAGTAGGCAAAATAATACTTGGAAAACTCTTTCTGGGGCATGTAACTGCACAAATAGTACTGCATGCTGCATACCGACATACTAACATGTTGCATTCATCTGTTCATTCGCATTTGAATTCTTCAAATAGCATTAAAATCAATGATGAGATGAAAACTGTTCCTACATGTCACATCGGTTGAGGTTAGGTAGGAAGGCAGAGAAAAGTCTTAAGCCCTTATATAATTGAAATTGCTGGTAGATCACTTCCTCTTCCTCTGGTTCCTCTTCTCTCTCTTTTCTTTGCACATTTACTCATTTATGACATCAATGAGATGTCTGTCAGATGTCAATGAGATGTCTGTCAGATGTCAATGAGATGTATAATGTCGGAAGACAAGAACCATCCAACCTCTGTAAAAAACAGTGCTGGCAATGATGGTAGAGAGAGTAGCACATCGAGTCGCAATTGTCATTTCGTTCTTCCAATTAGATTAGCTTTGAGAGCTTCCAATGATTTATGCTATTTCAAGAAAAATTCGCTGATGAACAAACACATATATAAATGAACATGGCATTGTCTTAAATAAATATACGTAAAAACACAGGTAACTGACAAAGAATTAGAGAGGGAGATTAAAAAAGCAAGCGTTCCTGTCGACGCACTTCAAATTGTTCTCCATTTTATGTGCGGGCGCTGATTTAAAAGATGTGAAGGAATGAGGTGAGAAGAAACATCTCGAAGTGATAACGGCAACAATGTTAGCATATCAGTGTGATATTATCAACGTGATATTGTTCCAGACCGAATAAATAAGAACCCTGACTCTTGTAATTTATGGTCTTCTGTTTGCTAACCCGCCAGCCTTTCCATGGGAAGAAGCTACTCTCATATATGTCTTGCTAATCGCGACGAAGATGCCCGTGGGAGCATCGTTGCTTACCCTACTCGGACCGCCTCCTTTGCAATGCGCTACAGTTTGCTACAGTTACTTACAGATTGATCCATGAACTTGGCTATGTTAAACACAATTCTTACCTAACCCGCAACTATGTTAAGCTTGCAACGACCACTATTAAACCTCGAACGATGAGAAGATTGAAGCGTTGAGCAGCATTTGATAGAAAAAGAAACGCAGATTGTGGAATAATTTGTCGTTTATTTTA